TTAGGCCGTTCCAACTTGATTATTTGTTTAACGTCCACCACCCCCCTCTATTTTTTTAAAAATTTGAGATCTAATAAACACATATTATTAAATACCCCCTCTATTTTTGAAAAAATTTAAAAGCTAATAAACATATAATGATAAATAATCCCTTCTGAAATTTTCAAATTTTCCTATGTTTATTTATTTAGTTTGTTTAACTTAAGCCCCCCTCCCCCCTTAATTTTTTCAAAAGGCCTGGACGTTAAACAAACAATTAAGTTGCAACAGCCTAAAAGATGAGAATAAAAGATGAGAATAAACTGCAGAGTTACAGTTTAAAGATTTATGAAGTAAAGTTCTTACCAACAATGAATATAAGGTCGATACTACGGTGATTATGTTCAAAAAATTCGCATTTTCAGTCGGGAGCAATACTTTTGATATTAGATTGCAATGGTATAGGCCATCATACGTCAAATCGGTGCTAAATATTTTAATTTCACTCCCTATTGGTTTTACATCTGATTAGTCAATAATCAACATTAGCAAATCATACAACTATACTTACCATAAATTAATATGCCATATGTTTCCAGACCAGCCACATAACCGTAAACGTTAATAAGATAATCTAAAGACCTTTTCATAAATTCTGCTAACTTTATAATGCGTTGATTTATGGCGATAGTGCAATGAGGTGGCTTTATCTCGCCAAATATGAGTTTTCTGTCAGCCTCTTCAATATTTACGAGAATCTGAAAGTCTGGCTTTCTACTATGATTATGACCATCTAATAAACGTCTCTCTTTAGAACTTTCGGATTCGCCATTTGCCCTGTTCCAATAATAAGATGTGAGCATGTATTAATATGCCGTAGTTAAAATTTACAGTAATAAGAATCTTACCAAACTAATGAAAATTCGGCTTTATTAAAAATTTCCTCAAGTATTTGATGACAGTACCGATAGACAAACGTATCTTCATCCATTTTTTATTCTCATTGTAACTTACCGAAGATAAATAGGTAATGCTGCAGGGAAAAAATGAGTATCAGTGATACATTGGTGAAATAGGTTTATTAACTAAGAACGTACAAATTCCTTGCAACTATCTGCACACAATCAAAAATGTCTTTGTCTTCGCTTGTTAATAACATATTCCCTTTTGCCCAATTATTGCACCACTTTGTATTAAGTTGTTCTTTGTCGTTCAAAAGCTAAAAAATAAATAAACAATTAATGTGGTTACTGAGCTTATAATGAATGCAAGAAAGGTATTTACCCTGTTGTATTCAATTATTACTAAGTCAGCGACTGTTGGCAACTCTTTCGGAATCAATAATCTCGGACGAGCCTCTTTCCATATCTTTTCAGAACATTTAACATATTCTGGTTTAAGTTCATTGCAATACATAATCGACGACAGGCACTTGTAAGTAATTACAGAGTAACAATTATGGCGAATTTCTGTATTTTTGGGTGCACCCTACGGATGGTTTCACTAGCCCAGTTTCTGACAGCATAAAAAACTTACAATATCATATCGATTTCTTTCACATATGATAAAATCAGATTGGTTTTCAACTTTTCGATTGATTCCACTTGTAATTTACAAAAATCAGTAGAGATGTTATAACCATCCGGTATTATCCACTATATAAAAAAAACAGGATTTGACTATACCAGGACAAAGACGCCACAAATCCATATTACAATACTTACATCATTCTTGGAGACATTATTTATGACAACATTATCAATCGCATAACTTCACGATAAAACGACCCTAGATAATATGGACTAAATTAACTATTGTTTATTTTGAATGGCTGTACACCAACTTTCACTAACCTTATATTTCGTTGAACCCCCCTGTTTGTGCTATAAAGGGATTATTGTCATTCCCATGGCCTACATCAGAATCGTTGTGGCAATTTGGCTTTGAGAGGAATACAAATTAAAAACATAATACAGAAAGTAAAACAAAATCGTCAAAATTCATATTAGAATTTACCAAAAAGAAAGAATCATCATCTTCCTTTTCCTCAGAAGAACCATGTGTTTCATCTTCTACATTCCTTTGTCATTCTGGAGTCTGACTTTTGCCATCTTCGATAGTGGTTTCGGCCTACGTTCAAGTTTATTTTGTTTATAACAAATTTAAGAAGGACCTTTAATCTCAAAATATTGGTTAAAAATTTCTTACAGGCTTTTGTTTTTTCCCTCTTCTGATTGCTATCATTTCATCAATGGGTTGTTTACCATTCCTATAGGAGCGTTTATGTACTTGAATAATATTCACAGTTCCACCGATTTGTAAACTACTACGGAATAAATCACAAGATAAATCACAAAATAAAAATACATTTTCAGCGTTTATCTCGTTATTCTCCACCGCATTATGTTGTTTCATTCTAGGTAAGGACTTCAACCAAAAATCATCAATGCGTCCCATCTTTTTGGAATCGACTTTATACGAAAAATATACAAATTAATGTATCAAGGCTATTAAAACTAAAAAAATAAGAGGACTAGTAGCGGACTAGCTGGACTACAGCGGAGACGAAGTCCATAACTATGCGAAAACGAAGTTCCATAGGTAGCTGTATCCAACAGCGGAGATGAAATCCATAACCATGCGAAGGTGAAGTTCCATAAGTAGCTGTAGTAGTGGAGATGAAGTCCATAACTATGCGAAGGCAAAGTTCTATAAGTAGCTACTGCTAGCAAATAAGCTGTCACATAAATTACGGAGAACGCTAACCTGAAATTGTTTTTCGAGACGTATTGCATTATTCTTCTCTTCTTCTGTGCCTTATTCTTTTATCTTCTGCAACTGTGTGTTAAATCTTCTCGTTATGCTCGCTTTATCTAAACCGAAGTTGCTTTTTTTCCAAAACGTGTGGTACTGAACCACGTCCCAGTCATTGCACAAAGTATTTAGGAAATAATCGAAGCCTGGTCCAGGTTCTTTAATTTCAGATAACATTTTTATGGTAAGAGAAGTCAGTTTCAACTTATTCGCTCATTTTTTACTCCACATTTTTACACTCATTGGAAATACCAACCACATCTTGTATTTCCATAGAGAGTAAAGTATAACAGATAACCCAATATAGTAAATGACTTTGATGAACAAAAAATTTCTGATAATTATATGTTGTCCACTAGTATTGGAAACAACAAGATTGTGACCCAAGGTCTCAATCGTCTTATATCACAGTTATTTCTTCTCTGCAGGTTGGTCTAATGCTAAAGAATATATAGCAGCCAAGTATTTCTAGTAGCAATAAAAATACAGGACATAGTTAAAAGTAACAAAAACTTAAACACATAACAAAAAAATTTCACAATATGGGAATACCAACAGCGAAGTTTTCCGTTTTTATTCTTCGACTTATGAATTAATCCAGAATAGGTAAATCATAGCATTTTGTCACCCAATTAGCCTGATTGGCAAAGGATATAATCTTATCCATCGTGTTTCAAATGCATAGGTTATATCCTCTATGGAAATCACGGTTTTTATTGGCCAATATTAAGCAGTGATCATGTGACTTTATCAACGCGGACATTTTTGCCTTCAATATTTTGAGGACATTTTTGTTCTCGCAACTTTGAGGAAATTATTTTGTCCTCACAACTATGAGGACATGATTTTTGTTCTCGCAATTATGAGGACATGATTTTTGTCCTCGCAACTATGAGGACATGATTTTTGTCCTCGCAACTATGAGGACATGATATTTGTCCTTGCAACTATGAGGACATGATTTTTGTCCTCGCAACTATGAGGACATGATTTTTGTCCTCGCAACTATGAGGACATGATTTTTGTCCTCGCAACTATGAGGACATGATTTTTGTCCTCACAAGTCACAACTATGAGACATTATTAATTTTTTGTCCATGTAATTTAAGGACATTTTTGTCCTCATAATTTGAGGATATTATTGTTTTTGTAATTTGAGAACATTCCTGTTATTGGAACTTGATAACATTTTGTCCTCATAATTTTGAGGACATTGTTGTTCTTGTAAATTTAAGGATATTTTGTCCTCATTTTGAGGACATTTTTGTCCTCAAAATCTTGATATTTTCATCCTCATAAATTTGAGGACATTTTGTCCTCATTATTTTGAGAACATTTTTGTCCTCATATTTTTGTCCTTGTGACTTTGAGAACATTTTATTCTTGTAAATTTGAAGATATTTTTGTCCTCAAAATCTTGTTTCTTAACATTTTTGTCCTTATAAATTTGAAGATATTATTAACCTTGCAACTTTGAGGACATTTTTGTCCTCACAATTATGAGGACATTTTTGTTTTTGTAACTGTAAATATTGTTAATTTTTTGTCCTTGTAATTTTAAGGACATTTTTGTCCTTATAAATTTTTGTCTTCATGATTTGAGGACATTTCTATCCTTGTAACTTGATGACATTTTGTTCTTGTAGTTTAAGGACATTTTTGTCCTTATAATTTTGAGGACATTGTTATCCTCATAATTTTGAGAACATTTTTGTTCTCATATTTTTGTTCTTGTAACTTTGAGGACATTCTTGTCCTCATAATTTGTATATTTTGTTAATTATTATATAATATAATTTTTTTTATATTTTAATTAATATATTATATACCGGTTAGGCCGATCCAATTTGATCATATGTTTAACATAACCCCCCCCTATCTAATAGCCGAATTTGAGAAGAAAATCAACAGTATATAAAATTCTATTTTTAGGTATATTTGTACTATTAATTTTCCATTTTTAGAATTTAAACATTCGGAATTTTAACATTTACACATATTAAAATTAAAAATAGAACATACTGCACAGTGATGTTGAGTAAACTTTTTCTTATATTTTAAAACATGCGTTTAATTGTCACAGTCAAAGAAGGTGTTGAAGATATTGTTAAACAAAATCTTATAAAAGTTGATGATTATTATTTTGAGAGCCTTTTTCATAAAATTACACTAGATGCATATAGACAAAAAAATTTTGAAATATATTGCCAGGTGGATGAAAAATCTTCATGGGTTTATATTAAAAACTCAGATGATCTTATAACAGAAATGATTCAAGGATTTAAATTTACGGAATTAAGGTTTAAAATTTGTTAATTAGCAAATCATTCAGTTGCAACTAGAAGAAATGCATTAGAACTTATAATGCAAAATGCATTACAACTAAAATTACCAAATCAAAAGCAACCCCAAGTTACACAAAATGATCTTCTATATAATGAAATAATCATTCTTTTTGAAAATAAAAAAGTTGGTTGGACTGGTGGATTACATTTATCAGTAGGTGTAAAATGTATTGAAAGACTAGCAAAAATTTTGTGGTATATTGATCCACATCTTAAGAAATTTGCCAAACGTGCGTGCAATTTGCCAAATTTATTTACAGAATTGTTAACGTATGAACAAAATCAAAGTTATAATCAATATTATTCTGTTACACATCATAAACATGAAGAAGTTTCACATGAAAAATTGAATAAGCTAATAAAGTCTTTTGAACTTAGCATTACACAACCTTGAAAACAAGATACTCTTTGGGCTTTATTAATAGAAGATTTGTATAAGCTAATAGAAATGGTTAAAAAATATATGATTTATCTTGAACAAGTCAATAATTCAATGAATAAATTACATAAATCATTAGAACCAGCACGGAATGGGATAGAAAATATTATGGTTAAAATTATTGAAGCTTGTAACCAATCAGATTCTATCTATGATGACTTAAATTTTGCGATTTCAAATTTGGAGGATTATAAATATATTAATATTGAAAGATATCTTCCAGAACCAGGAATGAAAAGGCATCGGTTTATAAAGAATTTAGAATTGATATTTCCAATAGGTTTTTATCAATATCATGCTGGTAATTATCTTGGAACTACAACTTTTATATGGAAAATACCAATTGAAGTTAATGATCGTACAGAAACACAAAATGCACAAACATTATTATCTATACAAGACCTTATACCTCATTATTTTACACGTCAAATGCGAAAAAATATGCTTGAAAGGGTAAGTTTAACCAACAACTCAATCAATATGTCCATCATTTTCATCATTTTTTAATGTAAACATTTTATTTTTAGTATTCGTTAGTTGCTAAAGTTACTCCAGTTTTATTGCGTAATCTATATCATGATTTAACTGGAGATGCAACAATAGCACCAAATAATATCACAAAAGAATTAGATGAAAGACTCCGATGGATGTTAACACTACAGGATCCTAATATTACAGTGGACTTAAGAATTAATAATGGATTCAAAGGAACATCATTTGATATTTTTTGGGAAGAAGTTGATTCTTACTTTAATGAGGTAATTCAGATTAAATTACAACTTTATTACACAAACACTAATGGCATATTTCTATTAATGTTTAATTTATGTAGAATACACCTGCTGTAGATGATAGGCGTCATGGTTCTACTCTTTATATACCAATAGTTCTGTCAATTAGAGATTTGCGAGAATCAATAATATCCCGATTGAAAACCAGGCTTGGAAATCCTCTTCCTTCAGAAAACAACATTCCTAGTGATGAATGGATTCGTGTTCAATTCACTACAAAAAATACTCTAGCACATTCAGAAATTAATTATACTGGAAGATTTAATATCAGATATAAAGTTCAAGCACGTCTGTTAAGAAAAGATCATCCAGACAGTCATTATTGTGCTGGATATTTTCGTTATTTACCTGTCTCTTATACACATCTAGATGTGTATAAGAGACAGATTTAATATCAGATATAAAGTTCAAGCACGTCTGTTAAGAAAAGATCATCCAGACAGTCATTATTGTGCTGGATATTTTCGTTATTTACGTGAATTTGCTATTAAGTATCGAAAGTTCACAGTGTTTATTTGTGCTGATGACAAGCACAAAGTAGCAATTGGTGAAGAAGTTGCTACCTCAACTGGAGTTCGTAATAGGAAATCATTGATACCTGATAACACAATTTTGGCAGCAAGTGATCATGACTTTACAAAATTATCCTTGACACCTTCAGTAATACTTTTATGTAAGATACCTGCCTCCATTTCAGAATCATTTTACTATGGAAAAGTCTATACTTCATACAAAAACACAGTTTTTGAACCTAGTTCTGGAATTCGCCATTCCACAGAATTCTTTTCTACACTTTCTGATCACTATCTTAATTCTACTGAAATTCCACCTATAGATGTGTATAAGAGACAGCATTCCACAGAATTCTTTTCTACACTTTCTGATCACTATCTTAATTCTACTGAAATTCCACCTATCATGTGTCTTTATACTGATGGAGGGCCTGACCATCGAACAACCTATGGATCTGTTCAAGTGTCTCTTCTGTGTTTGTTTATTCGTGGTAATTTTGATATGTTAATAGCAATGAGAACAGCCCCAGCACAAAGTTGGACAAATCCAGCTGAAAGAATAATGTCAATTTTAAATCTTGGTTTACAAGGCGTGGCTCTCCTTAGAGATCAGATGAGTAGCGAAATGGAAGATTTGTTTTCTAGAAAAAATACACTAGAAGAAATTCGTTTAGTTGCTAAAAACAATTCACAATTAGAAAGTGAACTTAGAAATTCAATTAAATCTATTCAGCAGCTTCTAAATAGGCGAACAGAAAGATTGGTATTAGATAACGAAAATTTTATATGTAAAAGTCCTGCGGATGATGAAGAAATTGCACGATTTTTTGAGGTAATTTCAGAATTAAATAATTTTTTTGTTAAACTCAAATAGCTTATTATAATCTTTTATTGTAGTCAATTATTTCAATTGATTCAACTTTGCGTTGTGATGAGACTACACAATCAATACTTCGGCAACATTCTGATTTACAAAACTTTATTCAAACACATTGCCAAATTCGGACTTATTCATTCCAAGTATGTATTTATAGGTTTATGAATTCAAAACTTACAATAATTTGATTTTAGTTTTAATTAACATCAATTCATTAAAATTCATTAACTTGAGTAGCATAAAATACATTGTTTTGGTAGATAAAAAAATGTGGCAACATTGAATGTGAAATTTGTACTATGCCACGAACACTACAAGAAGTTTTTGAATCTCTTAATTTTCTTCCAGACCCAACGCCAGCAGGTACGATTCAATTTGATTTCAATATTACCAAATCAGAATATTAAACTAATAATATATAGCTCATGATTCTGATCATTATGCCAATTTTTCTATGGTGTATAATAAACCTACGACTGATGAGCATCAACCATCTAAAAAAATTGCTGCTACTGGTACGGAAAGAGGACAATCAGGATTGTATATTAATAACAAGGTTCGTGAATTCATAACTTGTAATGAATGTTCAAAGGTACGTTGCTTATTTAGTGGGAGGCAGCTTACTGAACAAGATGGTCTTGAGATTCAACATGCTATAGAGAACTGGCCTTATACATGTGGATCTACCGTTTTTCCACAGGATCACAACTTGTTTGATAAAGTGTTTGTTCGGGAGAAAATTTGTTGTAAAACACCAATGGAATTTACTTACTATTCTTGTCGAAAAGTCCATTCTGATCGGTGCTACCATTGTGGATCAACAGATGATTTACAGGACAAGCCGGATTCACTAATGGAAAAATATAAATCAATACTCTCTTTATGTGCAGGTTGCCAAGATAAAGGGCTGGATTTTTTTTGTCGAATGCCAATACAAACTAAAAAACGTAAGCATAACCAATAAATATTTTATTGTAGTATTAATGTAAACCATAAATCAAACTGAATAATATAATTTTACGAATCTGCAATGCAAATAAATTTACCAATTTCCTTTTAAGTATTTATTCAATTACAAATATAAATAATACAAATATTTACATTTTTATAAATTTAAATTATTTTTTTTTATACTTATATAACCATCAAAATTTTTTATATGGTGTTCAAAATTTGGTGTTGATTATTTACCTCTCCCCCCCCTCTAAATTTTGACCAAGATGTTACGTTAAACACATTATCCAATTGGTCCGGCCTTATGTCAATACTATATTATAATATATTATTAAAAATTTGCATTTATTAATAATAAAAAAATAAATTGCAATATTTTATTATTTATTAAGTATTTAAATAAAAAAAGAATACGATCTTTTTGGAACTCCTTGCGGGCAAGGAATAGAAGAATTGCAAAAGAAAAAGATAGAGACGCGTTAAATTTAAAATAGAATAGAGAACTACTTGGCTGGAACAAATAGTTAAACCACTATAGACTACTTTAATATATAAAAACATAAACAATACTACAATAATGTCGAACATTAGAGAACAGAGTAACAAGAACAATAACAATACTAATTTAGTTAACATTGATAGTTTTTTACTTAGTCAAAGCTTCGGTATGAGGAACAAAAAAAATAGATTTAGACGCGTTGTACCTTACGCTCCATATTGGAACTCACAATATCAATGGATTGGCAAGGGACAATGCAAAACTTTATGGATTACTGAATTGGATGTTAGAAAGTCAGGTGGATATATTGGCCTTAAACGAAACTAACTTAGACCAAAAGAACAGTTTTTTCAAAATGCCCAACAGTTTTAAGGATCAATTCCATATATATTGGTTAAATAAACAGCACAACAAATAAAAAGAATCAGGAGTAGCGCTAATATGTTCACAGAAATGGAACAAATACTACCAAGGACACAAAATTCATTCATCATATTTACTCTCAGTATACTTTTTATTTAGAAATGTTATATTTTGTATATAGATTATTTACGCAGCATCACAAAACATGACCATTCTTCATGACACTCTGGAGAAACTTAAGAAAGAAATGTGTGATAAAGCTATTCGAAAAAAATCAAAAAACATAGTACATATATTATTAGGTAACTTTAATATGATTTCAAATGGTTATATCGATCGTACTCTCCCGCTACACATCTCTAGACCCAAATTTTTTAATGATCTTGAAGTATTAGGACTTATAGATTCATATAGGAAACTTAATAAAGAAGCATTAGGGTACACTTATCATAAAGAAAATGTCAGCATGAGAATAGACCAAATCTGGGTATCTGAAATCTATAGTAATAATATATTGAATTTTTCAATTACCCCTCAACGTTTATCACACAAAGGATTATGACATAATTACAATAACCATGGACACTTCTGACCTTATACGAAATAATAGGAAAAATACAATATATAATAAACTACCCACGGGTAACGCCCACACTAAAGTAATGTATGACTGTGATAACAATGATACAGAAACATGGAAAAAGTTTCGACTTAATATTAGAAATCAACTAAACTCTCTTGATCAAGATGTCCCCGAGGATAGAGAAAATTTCGCGGATTATTCCCAGGAAGACATAGATAAATATTGGGATAAACTTAACAGGATTATCACATATGCAGCGGATAAAGAACTTCCTAGAAAAGTCTTCAGACTTCATAATTCTTTTAAGCATTATAATAAAAAAAGCTGAGACTGGAACGCCACACAAATAAATTGCTCAAACTATTGCATAATTATTACCACGGCAATCAACAAATGATCGCATCAGAGGACGCTAAATCCAGATGGACAAGAAAAATTGCCAAATACAATCAGGATTATGTTACATCAACCGATGACAGTAATAAGTGTAACATATCCACACAGGATATTTTTTTGAAGAATTGGTTTGACACTCTTAAATCAAAAGTGAATTACCGACTAAGAATAGATTACAAGAAGTTTAAAGCCACACATTAAAGACAGGTTAGACAGGCGAGTAGAAATTATATGAGATGACCAAACAACATGGTTGTCTAGCATATTAGATATAAACACTCACAATAAAATAGTAATAGACAAGACTTTAGTAGACGAGGAACCAGGAAGCTCGACTAATAGACTGGCAACAGACCCGGTAGAAGTTAAGAAAGTAGTGGATGATAGCTTCAAAAGCATGTTTAGGAAACGAAACACATGACTGAACACAATGTCTCAGCAATGGCAACATATTTATGAACCCACGGGTAAATTCAAAGAAGTAATGGAATCTATAGCAGAAAAGATCACAATAGAAGAATGGAACAACACAGTTATAGAACTGAACAAAAAATCAGCTGCAGGGTTGTCCGGTATAAATTACAAAATCATTAAACAACTACCCAAGGAATTAATTCTTTTATTGATCAGATTCGGAAACCATACACTACAAACTGGACTAATACCTATGGCATGGAAAACATCGGTTATTCTCCGCATACCCAAACCCACCAATTTTGAATACAACATAATGAACACTCGACCTATTGCTTTATTAGATTGTTTTCAGAAAACTATAACAAAGATGATCACGAACAGGTTGAGTTCCATCTTGAAACAACACAGCGTACTACAGGGATACAACTGTTGCAGTTTACCTGGAGAATGCACAAATGAACCGATACACTTAGTTAACAATTTTATTGAGGACGCCAGGGAGAACAAAAAGGAATTATGGATCCTTACACAGGATATGAAAAAAGCATTCGATTCTGTGGAATTAGATGTTCTGAAGCGAGCTTTGCTTCGTATTGACATCCCAGCAACAATGGCTGAATGGATTATAGCCCTTTTCGATCATAGATCCCTTAGAATAGCTACAGCTTATGGTTTAAGTGACAGATTCATTGGAAATGACGGGATAGACCAGGGTGATACGCTTTCACCGTTACTTTGGCGAATTTTTTATGACCCGCTTTTGGTAGCAATACAACAAACCAAAAACAGCAGATATGAAATGAAACTTATTTGGCCGAACGATATAAATAATCTTAACATGTGGACACAGTACAAACTCCAGGTCCCCATATGTGCATACATGGATGATACGATATTTCTAGAATCGTCAAAGTATAGGATGCAAGAGATAGTGGATATAGCGAATAAGTTTTACTTGATTAATGACATTAATATCAACGCCAAAAAGTCAGAGCTAATAATTATCAATCCGACAGTGAAAAGCAAGAACAAAACATAGAACTGGGTAGAGACCGTTCAATAGTTCAAGCCACGAATGATGAAATAAGATATCTCGGTGTTTGGTTCTCTAACAAACCAAGCAGACGACGATGGATGCAACGTCTGTCTACGATAGTCAATGAATTTTGTAATACAGTCTGAAGGAAATTTGTTCCAGCGGGCTATACATGCCACCCAAATTATTTTGGACTGCCGTAATTATAAGTAAAATCCCAAATTCAATTATGGCATCCCAAATTATTTTGGCACTTTACATAGTAAATTATATATAAATCGAATGAATTATGGCATCCCAAATTATAATTATGGCATCCCAAAATAATTTGGGCAGCATGTATACAGCGAGCCAATGTATATATTTAATTAATAGAGTGTTAATACCCAGATTAATATATATAGCTCAAATCATGATATTGACAGAACATGATTGGAACCAAGTATTCGCCCCGATAATGAAGTTAGTAAAAAACTGGTTGAAATTACCTAAAAACACATCATCATCGTTATTATTTCATGAAGGGGATTCAGTATGGACCATCCATGGAAACACTATTGCATTAACAATATAACGGATCTAACAATTAGATTAAATAGTGATTCACACGTGGTGACATCAACACAAATCAGACTTAGGGACGCGCAGCTTAAATCACTCATTACTGATCCGATTTTTGACTGTGATCTTAATGTAATGCACTGGATAAAACCACAAACTCAGAAAAACGTTTCATTTAACGCTTTGGTAATAACAAAAATGCTTGATATGTCAATGGCAGTAGATCCGATTGACAAATCAAATTGGAGCATTACAGGAGGGAAAGAGCCAATACTGGAATTTTTTAAACAGTTTCAGCTTACAAAATACATATATAGAATCAACCAAAGCGCACATTACCCAATATTTTACATTGATCAATTATTTATTAGGGGAACATATCTTATGACATGGAAATAATACCGTAGATTAGCATTACTTCCGGTACAAGAAAAAACAGCTAGATGGTACCGTGATGTGGCTCATTTATGCACATCCAGAATAGATAATCTAACAGTATCAAACGAACTGGAGATTACCAAAGTTAACCATTAGCCCTTTTTACAAGATATCATACCAGATGCATGCTAAAAACAAGCTATTTTTATATGGGAATCATCAGCGGAATCAGATGTATGGACAATAGGTAAAGTTAATAAAATACGCCGCCATAAAAAAGGGATTTTAGTGAACTATCGCCCAGGATACAATGATAATGGAATCATTAAATGGCAGAACATGGGAAGATCTATTACGGCTGAATGTTGCAAGGTGGCGATATTAGATAAAGTCTCTAATAAATAAACAGGGATGGAATTTCCCTTATGAATGGATAAATTCAAACCAATTGGACGCATCAATACCCAACAATAACCTACCATCATCAGCACTAGATCCCATAATCATCCTACTATCAGTTCAAGATATATGGATTCATAGGTGGATAGAAGATGACAAACTGAAATTGCGATTAATGGATATTAGAAATATACTGGTAAAGAGATCATTGGTAGAATACTACACAGATGGATCACTCACACCAAGCACTCCCACAACAATGGGTAAACAAAATCCCAACTTAGTGTATACAAATATGGGTGCGGCATTTTGTGTCAATAATGAACCACACCTATCAGCCCAAGCAAATTTATCATTATGGCTTTCATCCACAAGATC